AACGTTAACGTACGTACTTACTTGTCTACACTAGAGCGTGTCCCCCCCTCCCCCCCCCCCCCCTCCCCTCTCTTTTGATGAACCATCATTCTCATATGGTAACCTGAATAGGGCACACAAATTCGCATTTTCATTCCATAAATATAAGATTAGGAATTCACACTAACTAAAAAACTTCTTGTTGATGTTATAAATCTCAAAACCAAGAGATATATCAAAAAGTCTTAATCCTTTTGAATTTCTATTTCCTTTAATAAACTTATCAATATTAATCTCTATCTCACATAATATATAATTTTCTTATGTTGGTGATTTTTGATATCACCAAATCCAACATTCACTCCTATTTGACTAAAGAGCTTAGTGTGTTACCTAACATTAAACAAATCACACTTGGGGGTAGAAAGCTTATGAAAAGTATGTGAAGCACGTGATGATTATGTACGCGGGGACAAAGTACTTAAGGCGTGCCTTACACTCTACGTTTGCACATGTGCACAAAGCAAAATTGCATCTCATGCGACTTTACCTCGTGCACATATATGGTTGAACATTTACACTTTGCACATAATTTTTGGGTGGCGTGGCAATTTTGTCAAAAGATCAAAATGATAAAAAACATGACAAATGATTTTATGAAAATACCAATTTGGTGACTCATTTTGAAGAATGGATGTAACTGTTAATAGAAGAGGTTGTTTTGATGTCCAAATATCTTCAAATTGATTATCTCGACGTCAAGATGCATGGATATGAGAAAAAAATGGATTTTAAGTTTTGGAAATAGTGTATTTTGTAACGTACTCTTGCCGCATCAATTTTCAATATTTTTAGGTGTTCATAGATATGTCAATCTATGCTATTTTGAGGCTTTAAACTTTATAAATAAATATAAATATTTTAAGGCTATCACAATGATTTCCAGTATTAAAACCACATTTCTCGATACTATTTGAAGGTAGGCTCTAATTTGATTGTTTAGAGCCTAGGCTCTATACAAACCGCACCCTTTATGTAAAGACAAGAAACCTCTCATTCAAGTACCAAGTTTATAAAAAAATTTCTGTATTTAATTTTTATCTAGTGCTTCCTAGATCTTGTTGTTTGTGTACAATGAAAAAGTACGAGTTTATTTGCACCTTGTTTCGTTGTTTCTCAAGGATAAATATTTTGAAGATATAATGGAATTCATCTCGGGAGGGGGATAACATTATAGTAAGAAAGAGTCACGAAGATGTACTCCGAAAACAAATAACACTGTTCTTTGTTGCATTCATAGTTTTGTTTTTAGTGATCGACATTAGTATTCTCTTTGGTCCTCAGCCGTGTAGTTGCATTCATAGTTTTGTTTTTAGTGATCGACATTACTATTCTCTTTGGTCCTCAGCTGTGTAGTTGTCTCTATGGTCTTGAGTGGCACAATTGCCTCCCTGCATTTCATCAAGGAGTTGCTTCTCTGCCTTTAGGTGGAACTTTTGTTTATGACATTCAAAAAAAAGGAAGAAGATTTATGCCTCTTCAATAGAATACTTGTGCGTCTTCAATAGAACCGTAGCATATGCTAAGTAAAATCCTCTTTGGAAATACTAGGATTTGGCCACCCAATCAGTGAGAGGTTTCATTAGTC